CGTGGCCAGGCCGGGCGGGAGCCGTGCACAGCGACTCGCCCGGGCCCCGCTGAGTGCACGGCAGGCTTGTCTGTCGCAGCCTTCACTGCGAAAGGTGGACACGACAGAACAGGAGCAGGTGACAGATTACTATCCTGGGACTCACCCAGAAGCCCCGGAGACAACGGGCCCGTCGCTGAGAGCAGGCTGGCTCCTGCCACCTGCGGTGTCCTCCTGCTTCTCACTTCCCCACTATTTTGAAGTAAATCCCAAACGGAAAGATATTTTGTCCGTAGACATTTCAGCCTATACCTGCCAGATCCAGACTCCTGAACACAACCCACTCCCATGGTCGCACCAGCGATGAACACATCAGCAGCCGTTTTGACTGGCCCCCCACAGCCGTGCTCGAGACCCCGCTCTGCAGGGGCCCGGGCTGCAGGCCGGATGTCTGCCTCCACGTTTCTGTTGTGTGCATGTGCGCACATATGCGTGTTATACAGTCAGGAAGCAAATGCAGTTTATCTTTCCCCACTGTTGTCATAACAAGCGTTTCTCTAGTTCTACAAAGCCCTTATAATGGCCTTTTCTCACGACTGCAGCATATTCTCTGGTGCTAATGTTCTAGAACAGCGGTTCTCAGCCTTCCTAATGCCTCGACCCTTTAATACCGTTCCTCATGTTGTGGTGACCCCAATTTCATTGTTACAGATTGAACATAATTAAAGCATAATGATTAATCACAAAAATAATATGTAATTATATATGTGTTTTCCAATGGTCTTAGGCGACCCCTGTGAAAGGGTCGTTTGACCCCCCCCCAAAGGGGTCGCGACCCACAGGTTGAGAACCGCTGCTCTAGAACATTCCTTGGTTAGGAGTTGTGACCATATTTGCCTTAAAGGCTGCCACATCTTGCTTCTGTGAGTCATGTTCCTAGGCAAACCGTTCCTAGCAGGTGATGGGCCTGGGCAGTGAGTGGGTCCCTGCATCTGTCAAGCTCGTGGGGGTGGGGTCTTCAGGGCAGCCACTGAGCGTGCCCCCCTCTCTGCAGCCTGGCCTGCCGGCGGGCTCCATCCCACCCTCCACCCGCGCTTCGCTCCCACCGCATTTCCCGGAGCCCGCCGTGAGCTTTGCCCCTGTGCTGACCGGCCCAGGCCAGCCCATACCCTCGGGCCACCAGGTGAGTGTGGGCTGCCCCTCCTGTGGCCACCGTCGGTGCCTCAGTCTCCCCTGACAATCAGCCATGGCTGGCCTGGGCCCAGGGTGCTCATGGGAGGGGGGGGTCTCTTGTGTTTGTGGAATTCAAGTCCCATAGCACTGGGAGGGGCCTCATTCACACACAGCATTCTCCCCGATCTGCATGTCTGGGCTCCCTGCTGGGTGTGTAAGTATGTGTGTGCATGTGTGTGCGCACACTCACTGATTATCTCTGTCACGTCCGAGCACCTGTGGGCATCTCAGTGGGACGCTGTATAAGAGACGCCCCTCTCCCTCCAGCCTCCACTGGCCCAGCCAGCGCCCCTGCCACAGGTCCTGGCCCCGCCGCCCGTGCGCCCTCTCCAGCCGGTGCCCGCTCACCTGCCTCCGTACCTAGCTTCGACCTCCCAGGTGGCTTCGGTGCAGCCGACGCCCATCCAGATGCCACCGGTGCCTCTGCAGCCACTCACTCCTGTCCCCCCGCAGGTACCGCCCCTCTCCTGCCCCGCCCCCTGCTGACCGTGGGGGGTGGAGCGCACATGACGGTGGTCCTTGGCAGCACATGCTTGGTGCGGGGTGCCTGTCGCCCAGACTCGTGCCAGTGATGATCATGGGGTGCTTTTGCCTCGTGGGGGTCACCGAGCTGTGCCGCTTCCTGGGAAGGCATGAGTGTCCCTGAGGTTCCCCCACGACACCGGTTCCTCCCTGCCAGCTGTCACCTGGCACAGCCCTGGTTTCCCTTCCCGTCTAGTTAACCGCCCCTCGCTTGTTGGTGGCCGCGGCGTTTAGTTGCTTTTCAAAGCACAGAGGTCGGCCTGCACCTCGTCACCACCTTCGAGCTGCCTGGGCCGCGTGCGTGTGACGCTCGTGTGCTGCCGCCAGAACGGCTTTCTCTTTAGGACAGCGGCTGCCAGCCCTTCACCTGATGGCACACAGACTGGTTCCTGAAACTCAGCAGCACTCGGAAAATGTATTTTTTGCCAATCTGACAAAATAGGTTGAATTTTGATTCATTCACAGCAGACATCTATGGTTGTGTTGGCTGTTGTTATTTCCTTATTTGACAATCTAAGGGAGCGGTCAGTGCCGCTGACATACAGTCAGGCGCTGTGTGCTGGCGAGTCCTCATGCACACCGGGTGAAGCCCTGCTCCGGAGAGAGCTGGCCGAGAAGCGCTGGAGTGTGAAGTGTGAAACCCAGGGGCCAGGTGCTGGGTGCCTCGGACCAGAAGGTTTGGGCGCTCCCATGGTGGGGACACCCATCCTCCCCAGTCCTGGTGGCACAGCCAACATGCCTGGCCACCCTCAGACCACCCGCGGCCCTCACAGTGGGGCCAAAGGGGGCTCCCCCAGGCCACCCCACCCTCTTTCCTTCCCTGTGGAAGGTGTCATGCGCTTGGTTTCACTGGAATTGAGTTTCCTCTTGGGTTCCTTTGGCAGCAGCTGCACAGAAGTATCTCAGGCAGTACCTGGTTGTGCTGGCACTGTCCCAGGGGCCAAGCCTCCCGTGGGCCGCACCCCGGGGCCGACGTGCTCCATCTCTTTCAGATGCCTCCACCTCCTGTCATCCCGCCAGTTGCTCCGCTGGCTGCAGTCGACAGCCTCCCCTCGGCGCTCCCCGACCTGCCGGCTGCCAGTGGTCCTGCGGTGCCACCTCCGTCTCAGTATTTCTCTCCTGCTGTCATCTTGCCAAGCCTCCCGCTCAGTGCTGCCGGCCCCCTGCCCGCGTCACCAGCCCTGCCTCTGCAGACGGTCAAGCTTCCCCACACCGCCGGGGCACCCCTGGCCATGCCATGCCAGACCATTGTGCCAAATGTGGCGGCCACCGCCACTGCCATCCCCCTGCTGGCCGTGGCCCCACAGGGCGTGGCCACCCTGTCCATCCACCCAGCCGTGGCCCAGCTCCCGGCCCAGCCCGTGTACCAGGCAGCCTTCCCGCAGATGGTGCCCAGTGACGTCCCGCCTTCTCCTCTCCACACGGCGCAGACTGTGCAGGCTGCCCCTCTGCAGCCGGCACCCCCCGTGCTGCCGCAGCCCTGCCTGCCCAGCGTCACCCACCTTCCTGAGCCGGCTGCTGTCCCCCCGGTGGGGAGCCAGGTAATGCCTGCCAGGAGGGCCTGCTGTCCCGCCCTGGGAGACCCGGTGGTGCCCAAGTTGCAAAGGGCCTGAGGCTCTACTCCTTCACGGCTGGAGGGTGGGTCCCGGTGGGGACAGGCCAGCAGGCAGCGCTGCCCACAGGCTGGGCTCTCCTCCTGGGTGTCTGCTGCCTCCTCCCACTCCCAGCACCTGGCAGAAGCCAGAGGTTCCACGGTAGGGGCAGTAGCTGCTTGTGGGTTCCCCACCTTGCTGTGCCGCGGCACCTGCCCTCACCTAGTGGGGCCTGGCAGCCTCCTCTGAGGGTGCTGGGGAGGCTCACACTGTCCATCTTGTCACCTGTCAAAGCGAGGTAGGTTAATAACCCCACGTCAAGGAAATGGGCCCCAGCGTCTGGGGACCTGATCTGTCAGTTGGGGTCCAGGCAGTGGCTGGGAGCATGTGGCTGCTGGCTCCAGGGTGGGCCTGGCAGACAAGGATGATGTCCCAGGGTCAGGAGAGGATCTTGGCCGATGCAGGCGGACAGTGAAGGGATGCAGACGCGCCAGGCTGGCCGGGTGAGCCTCCGTGTGGCTCTGCTACCTGCCCAGCCCTGTGTTTTAGAGTCTGGGCTGTGATCCACCCTCTGAGGAGAGGAGTGGGGTGGGGCCTCTTGCCTGGGCACTCTCCCACCTGGGTGCCCTCCCACCTGGGCACACTCCCACCTGGTGCCCTCCCACTTGGTGCCCTCCCACCTGGTGCCCTCCCACCTGGGTGCCCTCCCACCTGGTGCCCTCCCACCTGGGTGCCCTCCCACCTGGTGCCCTCCCACCTGGGTGCCCTCCCACCTGGTGCCCTCCCACCTGGGTGCCCTCCCACCTGGTGCCCTCCCACCTGGGTGCCCTCCCACCTGGTGCCCTCCCACCTGGGTGCCCTCCCACCTGGTGCCCTCCCACCTGGGTGCCCTCCCACCTGGTGCCCTCCCACCTGGGTGCCCTCCCACCTGGTGCCCTCCCACCTGGGTGCCCTCCCACCTGGTGCCCTCCCACCTGCCCCTAACCCTAACAGCCTGCGCCATGGGCACCGTGCTTTCCTTGTAAAGCCTAGGCTCCCAAGCGAAGGTGGGCGGGTGCCTCCTTTTGATTCTGCCGGGAAGATCACCCCGGAGCATGGGTGCCGGGTGCCAGCTCACGCGTTGCTCCAGTCTGGCCGAGAGCCGTCCTGAGTCTCACAGGCTCCTGGGCGTGCTTCTTACTGTCCGAGTACCAGAGGGGCCGGCACTCAGAGAAGGACAGTGGCTTCTGTTGACCACTGGAGGGCGTTTGTTTAAACGCGCGTGAGGAGGTCAGCAGCTGGCGCCCTGGCTGTACAGGCCCTGGGCAGCTCGTGGGTCAGGGTGGCGTCCACTCACGGGTCAAGGCCGTGTGGGGAAAGCCAGGGCCTGGGGGGAGGCTCGGGCCTGCGGTGGCAGGGCCCCCCCCCCCCCGCACACCCCCTCTCCCGTGGCTGAGCAGTCTCGTGCCAGCAGGCCCAGCGGGGGTCCTTCCATTTCCAACCACGTCGTTTTTCCACAGAGCTTTTAAAGGGAACAGTGGGGAGTCAGGCCCAGCCCCCAGGTCACCCCAAGGAAGGCCAAGGTCCAGGGCTTCTCCCTCAGGAGGCAGGGGTCAGGGCGGTGTTCGGTCCAGGCCCTGAGGCCGACGCTGAGTGACCACACGTAGGGCTTTTCAGCCAGACTCACTAACGTGCAAAAGGGAGGCGTGGTTTTAGATTAGAGTTGACACAAGTGGGGACCCAGAGTGCCTTTGTTTGTTTCTTCTAAGTCTGTGTACAAGTGTTCTCAGAGGCCAGGGCTCGCCTGGGCAGGAGTGAGTGCCTTAGGGTGCCTCGAGACCCCCAGACCTGCTCACCCGCCCGGACCAGGAGGTGCCCGCTGTGCCCTGGCTGCTGGGCCCCGGAAGGCAGTGGCACTCCAACTTGCATGCCTTCTGTGCTCACAGATCCTGCTTGGCCACCCGCCTCCGTATGCTGTGGATGTCACCGCCCAGGCCCCCGCGGGGCCCACTCCTGCGGCCGTCCTCTCTCCGCCCGTGCCAGAAGGGCTGCCCCCCGCTGCCCCCGAGCACCTGCCACAGCTCCCCAGCTCGCAGGCCCCCGTGCCGATGGCTGCGACTCCAAGCTTGCCTGTCCAGTCCGCTGCACTGCCCCCTGCCAACCTGCCCCTGACCAGTGGGCCTGGGCTCGCCAGCCTCAGCTCAGCTGTCCAGCTGACTGTGGAGTTGGCTCCGGAGGTGTGTGGGGAGGTGGGATGTGCACCCTGGGACACATGGTGCCTGCTCACCGTCCTCTGCTGCCCCCAGATGTCAGTTTCCTTAAATGCATTCCAGGTGGAAGGCGTAATTGTTTTTTTACAAATAGATTTTTTTTACAAGCCTCCCTGGTGGTGTGCTTCCTTGTAGGGGTGGCCAGAGTGGGTTAGTGTGCTTGGGAAGGGGAGGGTCCCGGCTCTTAGGGATCGGCTTGGCTCCAACAAGATGAAACCCTCATGCCCGCAGCCCTACGGGGTCTGCTTGCTACGGTCAGAAGGGACCAGGCAGCGGCTGGGCTGGCTGCTGCGCTGGCTGTGGAAGGCACGTGACCCTTCACCCTCGTGTTTATTTCAGGAGCAGGCCTCCCAGGACACGCAGCCTGGCCTCCTGCAGAGCTGTGAGAGGTATGGCCTGCGGCTGTGTCAGGAGACCCGCCTGCCCAGCCCTTCACGGGGCAGGGCTTCTGATGACATCAGTGGGGCCTCCCTGATCTGCTGGGGCCTCTGGGAGCCTCTGGGTCTTGGCCAGCACATGCTGGAGTTGGGTTGTGCGATGCCCCAGGCTGTGTCCTGGTCCTGGTGCTAGTCTGTGTGCGAGGGTTTCCTGGTGCTGGTGGGGAGGAGACTGGGAGGGCAGGGCCCGCACCCCGTCCCCCATGGCTCCCAGGCATGGGCATGCGGAGTTTGGGAGGGAGCTGGTTACAGGAAGTGGCCCTGTGTCCCACCCTCTCGGTAGGTCAGCACCAAGCTCACTGCTCTGCAAGTTCTCATGCTTGCAGCAAACCATGTGGTTAGTATGCTTCTGTTGCTTTTGCACAGATAGGGAAACTGAGGCACAGGGGAGGATTGTTTCTGAATGTTGATGTTTACCGTGAGGAGGTGGGGCTTGCTTGATAGGGCAGGAGGCTGAGAGGACCAAGGTCCTAGGTCAGAAAGCCCACGCATCCCCCGCCACCTCAGTGCTGCCCAGGGCGGCAGGAGAGCTGCGTGCAGGGTTGCCCCGTGGGGCACAGCTGGCTGCAGCCCTCAGGTGGTCTAGCTGAGCACGCAGATGCTGAAGCTCCTGGCTGCTTCCTGAAGAGCTGAGCTTCCCCCGGAGGCCAGTGTGCAGTCGTTTTGTGGGTGAGTAACCCTGGCTTTCCGACAGCTACGGAGGGTCTGACGCCCCTTCTGGAAGGGAGCTGAGTGACAGCGGTGACGGCACCTTCGGAGCGGGGAGGCTGGAAGGCAGGCCGGCCCGGAAACACCACCGCAGGTCCACACGCACGCGATCCCGCCCGGAGAGGCTCAGCCGGCCCCGGCTGACCATCCTGAATGTGAGGAGGCAGGGGCGGTGGGCGGAGGGCGGGAGCTCCCACCTGGCTGCAGGTGTGCAACACCTGGTCTCACTGTCCAGGACCCGCAGGTGTGCAACACCTGGTCTCACCGCCCTGGGTCTGCAGGTGTGCAACACCTGGTCTCACTGTTCTGGACCCACAGGTGTGCAACACCTGGTCTCACTGTCCTGGACCCACAGGTGTGCAACACCTGGTCTCACTCCTGGGGGCCCACAGGTGTGCAACACCTGGTCTCACTGTCCAGGACCTGCAGGTGTGCAACACCTGGTCTCACCGCCCTGAGCCTGCAGGTGTGCAACACCTGGTCTCACCGCCCTGAGCCCACAGGTGTGCAACACTGGGTCTCACTGTCCTGGACCCGCAGGTATGCAACACAGGTGACAAGATGGTGGAGTGCCAGCTGGAGACGCACAACCACAAGATGGTGACGTTCAAGTTTGACCTGGATGGGGACGCACCCGATGAGATCGCCACCTACATGGTACGCAGGTGTCTGCCAGGTGATTGCGTTGGTGGCACTGCCCCTGGGTTGGCCAGGCTGCCTCCTCCAGGTCCTTTGGGCACTTGGCTGCCAGCCCCCTTGTTGCCAGCCTTCCCTGCCCTGCAGCTTCTGCAGTGGCTGCCGGGTCTGGGTCCCCGCGGGCTGCTGCTCACCTCAGCTTC